ATTATATATAAAATATATATTTTTTAATCATTCTTTTCATTTAATATAAATTAAATATAAATTTTATATATATTGTATATAAAATTATTATATTAAAATAGAAAGACTAACTTTGAAAAATAAAGATATATTAAATATAAATACGAGTTTTACAGATATCAACTATTTTAGATTTGGTTATATCTAATTAATGTTATATATGTATAAGGAAAGGACATTTTTAATTCAACATATCAGAATATCAGATAAAATTGCTTGTATTTGTTTAATTATATAAGTCCTGTTTATAAAATTCCTATTGTAAATATTACAATATTATAATATTACAATAGTATAATTACACAATTTTTTTTATATTTTATTATAAATTTTCTGCACTTTTGTATTAAAAAGTGAAAAATTTAATACATAATACATAATAATGAATACAAAGTTCATATAAAATATGCGTAAGTACGATATGACAATCGTATAGAGTCATTCAGCGTTTGTCAGGACAGCAATCCACAGGGTATATTATGAAGTTCTTTGGAATGGATTTCGATTGAAATTATTCAATTATTTTCTAGATTTCTATTGTTTTTTCTAAGAAAAATCGAATAATTTTGGAATCTATTTCAAGTTTTATAATATGTATTATATTTTTTTTTATATTCAAAATATTCAAAAATAAAGCGATGATCAGATTGCCATTTGTCATATTGACAGACGCTAAATGATCATCTAAATAAAAAATGCGTAAAAAAATAGACTTATAAAAACGTTGGAGCACGGATGCACGATGATTCGCATGTAAATGTTTATTATTACTAATTATAAAAATTTATTTGTTATTAAAATAAAAAAATTAATTGTTTAATTGAATAATATATATAACAAAATTTATTAATTTTATATTAATATATTAATTATTAATTATTTAATTAATTAATTATTAATATATTAATTATTAATAAATTATATTAATATATAATAAAACATATTGTGTATATTATTGTGTATGTAATATGTTTTATATATATTTATATATATATATAACATATATATACATATATACATATATTGGTTTATTTAAACTAATATATTGGCGCATTTCAAACATATCGAAGAAATATCTTTTTTTTAGATTTCTTAGACTGTATTTAATCTCTATCTAAAATTTCATGTCATTGCCTTTCCTAGTCTACAAATAAATATTTATTTTGTGATTGAGAAAAAGCACTTTTGGCAATTTTTAACATGTCAAATTTTGTTGAGCAAAGAATTTGCATAAAATGTTGAACTTTAGAGCAAAACTTCATGTACAGTAGACATGTTTTGATGATGAGTGCATATCGAAAATAAGGATTTTCGATTGATATGAAATGTTGAAGTGGAAGATTTTCCAGAGCGATCTTCATCTTCGACGTGTTCTTTGCCTTTTTTGAACATTTTATACCATTTGAAAATCCTTGTTCTTGATATGCACTTATCACCAAAATATTTCACTATTTCTGTACACAAAATTTCGTTCCGAAGACAAAATTTTATACATTTCTTTGTTCAATAAAATTCGACATGTTAAAAATCACCGAAAGTACTTTTCTCAATCACAAAACAAAAATTTATTTATAAATTAAAATTGGTAAATACAAATAAATTGGTAAATAAATATATTGATAAAAATTGGTAAATGAAATTTTATCTAGAGATTAGAAACAGTCCAATTAATCTAAAAAGATATTTCTTCCATACGTTCAAAATTCGCAGTTTAATTGAGCCAATTCCCATACCTTTTGATCACAGTAGTATATACATATATATTTTTATATATATTAAATATACATTATTATAATTATATTTTATTATATTACGTATACTATTAAATTTCTTTTGTATTCAAATAACATGCTTGTCTAAAAAATATCTTTAAAACATTGAAACATTTTTAAGATATTTTAGAACGTTATACAGTTTCTAGATATTCTATCAGTGTAATTACTTTGTAATCAAAGATTTAATTTAACAATACTTTCTTTTGGAACCCTTGTCAGTATTGATATCAAACTCTTAATATTAATATTAATATATCGCGGTAACAAACTGCATCATAAATATAAATATATATGCTGTACATATATATAAATATACGGCTGTACATATATATATAAATATACGGCCGTATATATAAGTATACGGCTATATATATAAATAATAAAAAATTGTAAATTAATTATATTGATTACAAATTAATTACGGATCAATTGATACGTGTGATAGAATTATTACATATAATATCGAAGATAAATCGGTCATCAGCCTCCAAGTTGGATGTGAAGTGTTTTATATAAATCACATTTTTGTGATAGTCAGGTAGTGTTCTCAATGTATTGAGAATAAGATAGACTAGCTAAATAAATTATAATAATATAAGTATATTATACTGAATCATAAATATAAATATAAAAATATAAAAAAATTAAACTAAATGTAAATATAAAAATATAAATAGAATCAAAACGTTAAAATAGCAAATTAATAATATCAATAGATATTATAGAATCATCTGCTGTTAAAAATGTGTAATGTCGTATATTTTTAATAATCTAAACATTAGTTTTCTTAATTTTAAGGCATAATTCAATTTTTTACCAGATTAATTGTAGTCCGACTTGCAAACGGGATAACAATAATAATATTCAAATGGCACCAGTTGATGTAGATTTTCCGACATTTTGGCTGTCACGTTCTTAGCTAAATCGCTTAAATTGCCCGATGTTGCCAATGCATATACATAGGGAACTTTAAAAATAATTTCTTCGCATAAACCGCAATATTTTGTTATATCCTCATCTTCCATCAATAGATATGGTAAAAAATGGTACACGTTCTGGACTACAAAAATAATAATAATAATAATAAATAATAAATAATTTATATAATATATTCTAAATTTTTTTAATCACTGTGAAGTTCGTTTGACTTTTTGTGCAAATATATTGTAAAAAATTATTAATTATTAATATTTCAATCTTTAATATGATAAATTTTCATCAGGCTTGTGCAAATGGAAAATATAGAAAATGTCCATTAAAACTTCCACTATTAAGATTCTCTGAAATTTCGGCCGAAAATATAACTATTTTCTATTTATATTGATAATATTTAAAATTTGTTTATTATTTTGTATTATTTTTAATTCTCTTTAAGATTCTTTAATATCAAATTTATAAGCAGACAAACAGACTCGCCCTTTACCTTTACACTTTTGCATCTGATGTGTTATAATTACATTTTAAATTAAAAATTTAAAGTAAATTTCTTTTAATATGGAAATATCCGTTATTCATTTTTGACATCTTCTTAAAGTTTACATTACAAAAAAGCTTTATAAAAATCATTATTTTAAAGAAAAATTATCTTCAATTTGACTAAAGGAATTTATAAAAAATACACACTTATAAATATGCAATAAACATTCAAAAATCGACAAACCGATATTTTCTCACTATTCTCGATGTAAGTTGGATAAGAGTTGGTATTTCTTCACGTCCTATTACTGTACGTTCAGAAGTCTTTATACGATCAGGGCCTACAAATGGATTCATTGAAACGTCAATAGTTCGTAAGAATAAATTAAGGATTTCTATTGGTAAATATGTTAACGAGTTATGCGACAAATTCAAAATTTTAAGATTTTTCATCTTTCCAATGTTATGTGGCAAGATCCTTATATCATTATGGCTAATATTTAATTCCACTAAAGCATCTAACTTAATGATATATTCTGGTAATTTGATTAGCTGTAAATAATAATAAATTTCACGATGACGGAGCATATTATTAATTAAAAATATATTTTTATACAACAAAATATATATGTATACATTTTTTGTTTTATGTTATATACATATAAATCATTTTTGTGATATTTTAATAATTATATGACATACTGAATTATAGCTTATGTCTAGAAAACTTAAATTTTTCCGAAGAGCAGCTTGCCTTAAACACAACCATTTATGCAAATAAAAAGATCCAATTTCATTTCGTGACAGATTAAGTCGTTGAAGAAATGGTAAAATGCCCAAGTACATTGGCACTTTTTCAATATTATTGTTTGATAGGTTCAAATCTCTTAGATATAGCCACTTTGTAATATTATCAAAGTTTTCTAACAATGGATTGTAAGCAGTTGGTTTACCTAAATATGGCACATAGGTAATACTCAAAAATCGAGGTCTTTTCCTAGGCATCTCTTCCAAAATTATTCTTTTTTTCCTGTACATATCTTTGAATCGCGTTGAGAAAGCCTATTTAAATGTTATATTGATTAATAATTTAAATTCTATAATATTTAACATATAATGCAAATCTGGATTGTTAAGCAAATAACTTAGTAACAATTTTTTAATACCAAGAAATAATAAAATTATTTTATAATAGTATTATGTTATTCTTACCATATTTTCAGATGATTAGTTTTATTGTAATTATTGACAATAGTTATTATATTATTTTTAGCAAATTAATATTTGGTGAATATTTTATAACGCTAATAATATTTGCAGAGTTTCTAAAGGTTATTTATTGTGAATAATTTGTGCTAAGTTTCTTGTTATCTAAAAATTATAAAAATTAGTGTATAATTTCATAGTTCATATCTATATAAGTATATAGCTCTGCCTAATTATTTTAATTAAGTTTTGTAATGATAGCATAAATAATTGTGAATTACACAATTAATTGTTTTGTGAAGAAAAAGAATCTATGACACATAGAAGCGGATTCTTACATTACTTTGCTATTAAAATGTGTATATCGTCAAAAATTGTTACACAATTTCTTTCAATTTTCACGTTATAAAATTATTTATAAAATTATGGTTTTCAACAGAAATTGACAAAGATGCTGTTCTGTCACAATCCTTAAAGTTACTGGCGTATATTCGCATTATTATTTGTTAATTATATGATTGTTATTAGTTTACATATTTTTACATCGATACTGGCAGAATTAATTTGAAAAACGTTATGAAGGTTGACACTTTAAATTGAAAAACTCAAGTTAAAAACTGATAATATTACAGAATAATATTAATTTTATTTATTTTTCAAGATATCTGATCTTCTTCAAAACTTTATAAATTATTATTAGCGTGATTGCGAATTTGCGTATAAATATTTCGTTTGATTTATTTTAAAATAATAAATATATATTTAAACGGATTATCAGAATAGCTTTTTCGAAAAAAGCGTTATTGAAATTTACAAATATTATATAGATCAGAAAATAAGTGTTTGTTATAAACAATAATAACATAATGTATTTATTATCTGTTGATTTAAAAAAAATATATATATATATATATATATATATATATATATAAAATATATATTTATAAAATATAAAAGATATATACATGGTAGACTTAATTAAAATTCTGAAGTATTATAATTATTATAGATAAGATAATTAGTATTTTTATTAAAAATGAAATATCTGATAATTTTATATTCACGAAACATTAAAATAATAATAAATTAATTATAATATAATTAATATTGTGTTATATTATTAGTTGTCTAATTTTTTAGCAGCTGTGCTATTTTCGATTATCGCTTCAATAGTGTTTTGTCGGTAAAGAAGATGAGAAATAGGGAACTTGTGAAGTGTTAGTGTCGGTCCACAATAAGTATTTAATCTTTAAGTCGTAAGAAATTGACCAATCATAGTCGATTATTTTTTTCATATTCGATTATAATTGGTCAATTTCTTACTTCTTAAAGCTTAAATCACCTATTGTGGACCGACACTTATGAAGAGCGAACATGCAACACATGTGGATTTGGTGCATTTGGTTTAGAGTGGACGCTTAATTTTTTTTTAATGTGTATTTTTATAAAACTAAACTTGGATTAAAGAAAATTATTAAGTTTGATTATACGCTTTAATTATGGGGGTAAGTTAAAAAGCTTTCAATACATGTTAATTGATGAGCACCTTGTGCTTAACCTCTTAAAATTTTATTTGAATTTTACGAAATTAAATTTCTAAATTTCTGAACACGTGACATATTTTATTTATAATAAAACATAATCTTTTATTTAATGTTAAATATAAATATTTATAAAATCATGTAATCAACATTTAATTTTCTGAAGTAGGAATGTTTCTTTACAAGTTTTTCTATTTATTTTTATACATAAAATGACTTATAACATGAAGTAATATAAATTTAATGAATAATTAAAAAGTTTGCTTGAAATAAATTAACTCTATAGAAATATTTATTTTGCAGAAATTAAGAAAGCCAAAAATCAGTAAAATTAAAAGAAATAATCAGACAAGGACAAAACTTTCAAAACGAGGAAAACTTAAGACTCGACAACATAAACCAGCAAAAAAACAACCTCAAAAATCAGTACCACCATGTCCAGTGGAAGAAGAAGAAGAGGAAAGTGATCATGGAAAAGATTTAATGGATATGGTTGAAGAAGATGATTTAAATTTCTTAAATAACGCTATATCTAACAAATCTTATAATTTATTGAAACAGATTCCCTTAAACGAGTATGTTTATACTTTGTAATTCTTAAGAAAAAATAAAATCTTAAAGAATTATATGTATATGTATATATGTATATATTGATATATATGTATATGTATGTATATTGATGTATATTGATGTAATTTTTGCTTTTAGAACAGACAATAGTTTAAGCGAAAGAAAAAGAAAGAAGATTACAAATGATCAACCATTGGAAGAACTGTATGAGAATAATGTTTCGAAAATTGTGGAAGAGACAGGAGGAAAGTCGATTCGCATGTTGCTTCCCATAAAAACACAAAATGGTTTTGTAAAGAAACGCATTATTGAAGAAGATGATAAAACTTTAAATGGAGAGGAAAATGAAAATACGAATGAGAAAAATCAAGAAAAAGATAAAGAAAATAGTCAACAAGGAAATAGTGATACGGAAATGGACGATACATATGTAAGATTCAAATTACATGTTCCAATACTTTAGTCTAATGTAAAATGTATTATGTAATTATGTATTATAAATTTACAGAATAACTTGGAAATAACTGATAAACCAATGTCTACTATTGAACTTTTGGCGCATCGTGAAGAAATACTAAGATCCAAGCGTTTTAGAATAGGTATACTTTCGAGCGGTATATTGGAAAACCCGGAACTCAAATCTGGAAATTTCAAAATATTGTTGGACATGATGGATGAAAGATCCACAAAAATTTATGTTACAATCAGGAAACTGGCAATGGTGTCCCTTTTAGAGATTTTTAAAGATTTGCTACCATCATATAATATCCATCAGATTTCTCAAGATGGAGTAAAATGTATGTGTATATAAAGAAAGAGTTACAAAAGAAATTGAATATACATTGTTAATCAACTTTAATTAATTTTCTAGTGAAAAAAGATACTCTCGCGCTGCAGAATTATGAAACTATCTTGTTGAGAAGTTACAAAAACTATTTACAAAAGCTCGAAAAGATATCCAAGATTTTGCGAAGAAAGAAAGGGGATACGCGATCGACGAATGAACAAGAAATACAGCTGGGTGAAACAGCTGTATTATGTATGTGCGAGCTTCTCACTGTCCATCCGTATTTTAATTTTTCTGTTAATATAGCTAATTATATACTTCCTCTATTGGATAACAAGCGGAGCAGCGTAAGAGAGAAAGTTGCACAATGTATCTCTCAAATATTCAAAGAAGATAAACGTGGTCAATTGTCTCTTACAGTAGGTTTTAATAAAAATTTTATTTTTATTATGTTTCAAAATGCTAGTAATGTAATTAAAAATTTATGATGCATTTATTCTTAATGAAATTTTAGATAGTTCGAAAATTGAATCAATATATCAAGTCAAGAAAGCATTCGGTACACTCTGAAGTTATAGCAGTGTTACTGTCTCTTCGCATCAAAGATGTTGATCTGGATAAGGAAAAGGAAGACGAAACAAAGCAAAAGAAGCTCATATCTCATAAGCAAAGGATCCTTGCATTGAGCAAACGAGAGAGAAAAAAGAGCAAGAAATTAGAACAAGTGGAAAAAGAACTACTCGAAACGAAGGCCGAGGAAAATAAACAGGCGAAACAAAAAATTCTTACGGAAATAACGAGTATAGTATTTACCATATACTTCAGAGTATTGAAACAAGTTCCCAATAGTAAAATATTATCTGTGTGTTTGGAAGGATTAGCCAAGTAACGCGATTTATTTATATTAGTATTTTTTATTAATGATTTTCATTTACAATATCTTGACAGATTATACTTGAATATTTCAGATTTGCGCATTGTATTAACATAAATTTTTACCAAGATTTGGTAAGCGCCATAGACAGATTAATAGAAGAAGGTAATTTGGGATTAAGAGAACAACTGCACTGTGTTCAATGTATATTTACGATATTATCTGGTCAAGCTGCAGCATTAAATATCGATCCATATAGGTTTGTATATAATAATTGTTCTCTTTCAACATTGTTTTATATACCTAATGAAACAAATTACATATCGTTATGTATATGTAAAAAATTATATTTACAATATATCTGTTATATAGATTTTATGTGCATTTGTATAAAAATATATTGAAAGTCCATTGTGGGAGAACGCACGCGGAAACGGAAATTGTGTTGAGAACACTGCTACAGATTCTCATTCATCAGCGACGGAGAATAACGCAGACGCGTATGGTAGCCTTTGTAAAGAGAATAAGCATGTTAGCCTTGCAGTCACAGCACAATGCAGCGTTGGGAATTCTCGGTATTATCAAGCAAGTGATGCAGCTCGGGAAGGGAGCTCATATCTTACTAGATACCGATTGCATCGGTGATGGTCATTATCAAGCCGAAATCGAGGAACCTGACTATTGTAACGCTCTTGTACCGCATTGTATGAACTCGTTGCTTTACAGGTACTATATCTACAATACGATACTTTTCATTGAAAACGACCGAACGATGAATGATATAATAATTGTTTTTTTTTTTACAGCGTCACTATCATAGTGTAGTACGGCAACTCGCTAAGAATATAGCGTATGTCACACCTACGAGCGGCGAGGGTAGTTTGACTACTGAAATCGCGAAGTTGTAAGTATTGATTGTATATAACAATTATAATAAATTATTTTATCTTGCATGTATTTTATCGCATACATACAATTAGAAAATATAGTTAGTTTCTGAATCATTTGATTGTTTTATTAATTTTAGAACACCGGAGGAGCTTTACACGGAATACGATCCTGCGGGTGTAGCATTTAAACCTGCTGTGCCTATTCCAAAGAAGGCTGTCGTTAAAAAAGCATTTACGAATTACAGTATGAGTCCTGAGCTCGAGAAATATTTTAATACTATCAACGTGGACAATTTATTTGCAGATGGGCATGTAGACTTTTACAAAGCCTGTAAAAGTAATTTATAACATATAATAAAGAAAGTAAAAAATATTAATGCTTTCCATAATTGATAAATACTGTAATTATATTTAAAATAATTCTTCTAGAAATTAGAAACTAGCAATTAAGGACTCAGACACAATGAAAGAAATAAAAAACATGGAATAAGAGATTAGGAATGGAGAATTCAATTTCGATACATAGGAAAACATGTTCCCATATACAATCAAACACTAAAATGTTCTTTCATTTAGATTGAAAATAATTTTTTCCTAATTCTTCCTAATTCTTTATATTTAATTTCTTTTCCTGATTATATTATGAATCTTAATTCAATCGACAAAATCGCTCAATTTTACAATAAAATTCTTTCCTTTTGTCAAATGAATAAATATAGTAAAATGGAAAACATTCATACAATAGAGAAAATTAATTTCAATAGCTGATTAAAATTAAGTCCAAAAGCTGGATTAATTGTTCATTCATTCTTGCTCATGCTCGTTCATCCAATTCAAATTCGGTTTGATATGACACATTTGACATTTCACCGAGCGCTGCTGAGCGCCTCCACTTGCCCACGCGTATCCGAGAATCCGAGTCGTGTTGCCTAATTATGTGTTTTGATACATTTTGACATTATAGAAGCCAAAGATATATCGTGACAATTCACGCAGAATGATGTCCGAAAGAGATTATGCGCCCCTGAGCGCGGCATGTGTGCGATCCCTCAATGACAAATTGTACGAAAAACGAAAGCCAGCCGCCGTGGAGATAGAAAAGTGAGGTTATCTGTACTGTACACGATTGCATCTTCTTGCCCTTCCGATTCTCGATCTTCTAGGGTTCGCAGGTTTCAGTGAACCTAAAAGAGGAGTTGTAGATCATTACTACAATACAAAAAGTTCTTCTCTCAATTCTACATTTCTCTTTCCATAACAATTGATTAATGTCTTTTTTGTTTTTTATCAATCCCACAGGATGGTAAAGGAATTCGCTGCTCATAACAATACTGTGCAGATCAAGAGACTGCTGAAAGTTCTTGGGCAGGACTTTGCCACTTCTCAGAATCCACATACGCGCAAAGGTGGCTTGATAGGTCTTGCAGCGATCGCTGTTGGTCTTGGAAAGGACACTGGTCAATATATAGAGGATCTTATCCACCCAATTCTGGCATGCTTCTGTGACGCTGATCTTAGAGTCCGATACTACGCCTGCGAGAGTTTGTACAATGTAGTCAAAGTGGCGAGAGGCGCGGTGCTGCCTCAGTTTACAGATATCTTTGCTGCTCTCAGTAAGCTGGCCTGTGATTCTGAGCAGAATATAAAAAACGCCACTGAATTGCTTGATAGATTGATGAAGGTAGCTGCAGAATCTATTAGAGATGTCTCTCTTTTATATAATTTGATTTTTTATTTCAGGACATTGTGACAGAAAGCGGCCTCTTCGATTTAGTTGGATTTATGCCTTTGTTGCGTGAGCGTATCTATACAAAAAACCCATTTGGCAGACAGTTTGTAATATCATGGGTATCCGTGCTGGATGCAGTTCCCAATATGGATTTCATAATATTTCTACCTGAGATACTCGATGGATTGTTCAGGATATTGGAGGACCCGACGCCAGAGATTAAAAAGATCACGGATACAGTTCTTGGTGAATTTTTACGTAGCATAAAAGCAAATCCCGCGAGAGTGGATTTCCCGGGTATGATAAATATACTGATTACGCACACCCAGAGTAATGATGAGTTGCTCCAGTTGACTGCTATCACATGGATCAAGGAATTCGTACATTTGTCTGGGCCTCTCATGCTTCCATACATGTCTGGCATTCTCGTGGCCGTTTTACCGTGCCTAGCCTACGACGGTGATACACGGAAGAGCATTAAAGAAACAGCAACGCAAGTAAATGCAAATTTAATGAAACTGATAATTATGGAAAATACAGAAGTTACAAATAAAAAACAAGAAAATAAGATACATTCTTCGAGAGAAAAGAACGGTAAATAGTGTTTAATTATATATTTTATATATATTTATATAACATCTTTTATATTTTCATTATTATTTATCACCTTCGACTTTTCATTAATAATAGGCATTATCTCTCTTTTCACTTTCAGATGTAACACAAAATCATTCCCTGGCTGAAAGCTTGGATCTCACTAGTGTCGTGGAAGTACTTATAAAACATTTGCTCTATCTATCGGTTCAAACTAAAGTCGCAGTTTTAAAGTGGATACATCATTTGTTCATAAACATTCCGCATAAAATGTTTAATCATATCGAGGACTTATTTCCGATATTAATGAAATCCTTAAGTGACACCTCGGACGAGGTGGTACAGCAGACTTTAGTGGTAATGGCTGAGATTATCAGCTCAAAATCCCCGGAGGCAGTAACGACCGATCCCAATGCAAAGATGCAGAATAAATATTTTACGAAGTTCATAGTCAATTTATTAAGGCTCTTCTCCACCGACAGACATTTGCTAGAAGACCGGGGTGCTTTCATTATAAGAGAGCTATGTGTGCTTTTGAGCGCAGAGGATATATACAAAACGCTGGCAAAGATATTACAGGAAGAACAAAATTTAAGCTTTGCGTGTACGATGATACAAACTCTGAACGTCATTCTATTAACCAGTTCCGAGTTATTCGATCTGCGCAATAAACTTAGACATTTAGATTCTCCAGTAAGTTCATCGTATAACAGAATTATTATTCAGCTTGAAATCCTATTATTCCAGTTTATGAAGTTCTATTGAATAATCAATTATATAAAATCTAACAGTATTAATGATTGTAAAATTTTTAGGATAGTTGTGCGCTGTTCGAATGCCTCTATGTGTCCTGGTGTCACAATCCGGTCGCAACGGTGGCCTTGTGTCTTCTGTCTCAACATTACCGACATGCGTGCAATATCATTCGATCTTTGTATCCTTTAATCTATTCCTTTTCGTTTTATTTGCTTCAACGAACGTTTTTAAGACCTTAACACAATCCGTACGTATCAGTGAAAACATAGAAGTTACAGTGGAATTTCTAACGGAGATAGATAAACTGGTACAATTAATAGAATCACCGATATTCACTTGTAAGTACGCGATACATCGTTATACTAAGAAAATAAAAAAAAAATGTGTTTCAATATTTCTTCATTCTTTTCTTGTTTAAGATTTGAGACTGCAGCTATTAGAATGGGAGAAGAATGACGCTTTGATATACGCGTTGTACGGCTTGCTCATGATTCTGCCGCAGAGTGATGCCTACGCTACTTTACAGCGTCGTCTAGCAGCGATACCTCCAGCTACGAAGCCGATATCTAAAAGTGAACATTCGCAGGAGAAAACGAACGTTCATTGTCCGTTTGATTTTAACAAATTCTTGAAGCATTTTCACATAGTGCAAGAACAACATAGGGAACAGAAGCGTAAACAAAGACTGAATTCCTTAGTCGAGAGGAATACTAGTCATGTAGATTGAATCGCGCAAAAATGTCTGATTTGCTAATTTTGTACTGCGTCACTATGTAAAAAATTTGTGTTTAGCTTTGTTATATAAAGACACAGTTTTTATTTATGCAATCTCGTTGGTCTCGTTGGAAATAAATAATCGTATCGTTGATCTTGAAGTAAAACAGTCGTTTACTTAATCGAATAGAAATACAAACTTATTTAATATATATATATATATATATATACATACACACAACACTTTAACAGTCTGTACATCACTAATCATACACTGGGATTCTAATATATACATTCCAAATTTCAGTCTTTGACTCGTAATTAGATTGATAGAGGAATGACAAAGTGGCACATATTAAAGCTCGTATCCCGCGTCGCCTATGTCTTCCAGTCTATCAATCGCTGATAAATGATCAAGCTGATCTATAAGCAGACCATTTTCATAAAGGAGCACCGTGATTTGTTCTTGCGTATCGCAAATGTTGCGCCATTTTTTCGTGCTCTCTTGTGCTGGCACGCTCGTTTTCTCGATCGTTTTTGATTTGCCAGGAAGCCTATCCAACGAGTGCAAAAGATTCTCGTTACGCTCCTTGCTTTCTTGCGATAAACGATAGGAGAACGATTCCAGCACGCGCTCATAATTCTCTATGTCTTTGTCCAATATTTGAGTTTGCAGGAACACCGTTTGTGCCATTTTATACCAGTCGGCGACGCACTCGGACCGTTGCGTCATTGCCGGTATACATTCTGTTTCGAGAAGCGCTTTCAATCGACGTCCTGTTTCTGTGACCTATTCAACGAAAAAGTTTATGATATTTTAATTTAACATTCACAAGAAATAATTTGTGCGAGTTTCTGATTCGACTGCGATTTAATATCGCTATAATTACGGATTAGAAAACTTGATTGATAAATAATTTTATATACCTTTATACGTTCAAGAACATGGAACTGTTCGTCATTATAAGTGAGACTACGAGTAGCTCTGTCTCTTAGCAAATGTTGCCATCCGTCCCTCAAGCGATCGACTAACGTTGCTGCCCTTTGGCTCGCTTTTGTGGCCCATGGGCACCACAAACCGCGAGTACTATTGTCCCATTCTCCGCATAAACTACCCTCTTTTACATACCTAATATAAGATTTATACTAATTATATTTCTTTCATTAAACTATTGAGCATATTTGGTGAATTGTAGATTATGATTGAATGCTTGTAAACAGAAAGGTGACCAATTTCTGGACAGAATTAATAATTTGGCTAGAATATACAAAATTAATGCATTACGTCTTCTAAAGTGATTTACCTTTGATGAAGTTGCACTATTGCTGGAGTCAGTTCGCTCGTAAGTTCTTTGCTCTTCAAATCCAATTCTTTTCGCCAGCTTTTAACTTCCATTGCGATTTGACCGCCAAATTTTCGGAATACGTGCTTGGCAAAAGTCTCACTCCTCTCTATTGCCAGTACAGTGTCCTCCACGGCTTTTGTAAATTCCTTCGAGTGCTGACACTTCCCTAATACTCGAGTAAGCTCTGTAGACAGAAGCCCACTAAACGCATCTATAGCGTCCCGCGAAAGCTTGCTGCACAGGGCCAATTTATCGATTCTACGTTTACAAACGTGTCCCACGGAACACGCGATCTTAGCTTGATTCGCGTCATTCTCCACGGACACGAGATTCGCAAAAACGGGAAATTTGGGCAGTTCAGTTTCCTGCGGCAATACGACATTGTTGTTTTCCCGCGAGAACAGCATCAACGGCTTATCGTTACTGGTATTGGGATATCCTTTGCCCGGCGTCGATTCCTCTACGAGATTCGTGAGCGGAATTTCCCCGAGAAGAAGGATTTGCGCGTTGGGCACGATCTCTGTCTGGTCTTGAATATGTATCTGCAAAGCGACCAGCTTTTCCTCCGGATGTAAGAAAACCTTGATCAGACTGGCTCTGTGAACGTTGAATATGTGAACGGGTTTCCTGCAAAGCGTGTCCGTGACCTCACAAAAGAATCGCTCGAAACTCCAAATTCTTTGCGGATCTACCTCCAACAAGCCGGCCAATAGTGGAGTGACTATTTTCTTCAGACCCGTGCTTAACTGGCAGGTCTGTGGCAATTCTCTGCCCCACTCAATTGGTCCGTTCTCCGAAGTTTGCAATCCGGATATCACACCCGACGCTTTCTTCGTGGTGATGTAAAACATGGTCTCCTTGTTCCTTCGCCCACCAAATGGCCTAAATGGCAGATTCCCCGTTGCAACATGATAGAGAGTCACACCTATGGACCATAAATCTACGGTCGCGCCGAAGGTTTTGCCAACGGGCTTTCTCAGGACCGCGCGCTCATACATGTCCGGATGCAAGTATTCCTCAGTACCATATAGTGAAACAAACTGTTGATCCTCTTGCAATTCTCGCGCGGCCCCGAAATCAGTAAGCTTATATATCGTACTGCCATCATCAGCGATGAATTTCATTATGTTACCTGTGTAAATAGAAAACATTATATACATGTAAAATGCTGAAGATATAGAAGTTAAATCACAATGGTCTGAGACTCGACTGCACCAACATTATTTTGGCTTTAAGCAAGACTTAAGTATGTCTGTCTTTATTTATTTAGAAAGAAAGATAAAGACAGATACATGTTTAAATCTCACTTAAAGCTAAAATAACATTGGCGCAACTGAGCCTAAATGAAATAAATTGAAAATTATTTTATAATAAAAAATATAAACATAATTTTCTTCTTTAATATAAAGTTGAAACTTCATCTAAGTCAATATAATCATTTCTAAAGATTAAACTAAGATTAAAATCAATCTACATTGATAGAAATGAATATAAGAGAGATCTATAAAGTACATAGATCTCCCTCACCTGGTTTTAAGTCTCGGTGAACTAGATTATTGTCACGCAAGTGCTTCATGCCCGCCGACAAGTGTTCCAGCACCAAGAGAAACTCGCTCTCGGCGAGGCCGTACGTGTTCTCCGGATCGTCCAGGATGTTGAAGAGGCTGCCACCGGTGCAGAGCTCCATGACAATGACTTTGCCCCTGCCATCCTGCTCCTCCTCGATTGCTAACAGCTTGACAATGTTCTCATGCTTGACCTTCTTCAGGACCTCGAACTCTCGCACCTGCACGTCATGCGGTCGCATGTGACTCAGCTGATTGAAGGTCTTCACCGCGACCGGCTCTCCATTGTTTTTGTTGACGCCCTGGAATACCGCGCCGGTCGCACCCTTGCCGAGCACGCTGGTGGTGCACCAGACGTAGTTGGCGGATCCACGAAGGAAGGACATCTCGCCCGCGCGCTTTTCCTAGACATCGGGATTTCACCCCACTCTTTCACCACGTCCTCGATGTCTTGCTTGATCCTCGCGTTCCACTCGTGACGTCACAAAACATCACCCAGAGTACCGCTGATCTCGAGGAAGCATCGTCTGATCCGAAAATTGACAGCACGGAGACCAGCGAGGAGAAATTTTGACTTGACGATTAGAGGAGGACAACGTTGGAGCGGCATCGAAGAAGCGAGAGAGACGCGTGACCGTCGATTTTCCCCGATTTTGACATAACCATGACGTGTACATTTAATGTTCGCGCGAGTGCGGGCATTGGTTGCAGGCCAGTAGGCCGTATTCGTCTACAATCCCTAGGATTTTTTGACATCTGAAACGAGACAGACATATTCGAACGTTGAAGAAAGAAAAAAAGGAAACAATCTGCGCGCGTGAGGAGGTAAACGGAGACTTTATTTCTTCAACGTTGACAGCTCTGATCCTTCGGAGCTTCGTGCTTTTACCACGCGAGGCCTTCAGGGATAATTCGGAGTTGGCCCGTCACTCCCGTCGACGAGGATAGAGAAGGAGAGAGAAAGAAAGAGAGAGAGAGAGAGAGAGAGAGAGAGAGAGAGAAGAAGAAGAAGAAGAAGAAGAAATATCGGCCGAAACAAACCCGGCAAATTGTTTCTTTTTCGTCATGGAGCTGGTGGAGTTGACGAAACACCTGGACAAGATCAATGTTCCGCGTCCCGGCGACAGGATATACAAGGACGAGTGCGTTTTCTCCTTCGACACGCCAGTAAGATCACTCTTAGTCCTTTGTCTTCCTTGTTGATGACCGGCGAAAACTTGATCGTTATCGGTTGATAAATATTTCTTTGTTCAAGGATACGGCCACCGGTCTCTACGTCAGTCTCACTACTTTCGTGGGTCTTGGACGGGAACATGTCGCCTGGTACGCTAGGAATACCGGCAACTCTGTGTATCTTCATATTAAACGCACTAAGAAGGTAATTTTAGTTTGCCCTATCAAGTTTACCCTTTCGTCTTGTGCTATAAACTTGCTTCAATTACGATCTTTGTCTTTAAAAATTAATATTATGCAAGGACACAAATCCTGTGAAGTATAAGAGATTCCAGGAAAATTTACATAATTAATGTAATTAATATATGAGCAGGTTTTAACTGGAGATCCTTTATTTATTATTAGTGATATTTGATTTACATAATCGTCCAACAGCTCCTTTGTAATAACTATTTATATTTCTTCTACTAATACATTTATAGCACTATACTACATTGTCGATATTAATTATGCATTAACGCTATCATTTGTACCATTATTTGATATATTAGAGCCTAGATACAATAAAGGAACAAAAAACAAGAAATTGAAAATAAGGAATTAGGAATAGAGAATTAAATTTCAACATAGAAATTCACGTTTCAATACATATTCAAAGAATGCCAAAGTTTTTTATTTTGGTTTAAAATAATTTGTGTTCCTGATTCTATTTAATTCCTTATTTCTTATTTCTGTTTATTGTGCCTGTGCTCTTATTCTTGTGCTCTCTCTTATTCTTCAAGGAAGAGTTAAGTTTTTTGTGGGTTCCATCTGAGGAGCAAGGAGATGGACCTGAAAAGAAAATCACGCGCTTGGCGATAGGAACAGCTGGTGGATTCATGCCTGATCAACAGAAATACACTTACGAGGAGGCCTATCAAATAGTCATTCTACCTGATTTCCTTACTATTGCTTATCCTGGGAATGATTTACCTGAAAAGGTAAGATTTATCTGCAAAATTATGTATTATTGACAATATCTAAAATATATAAAACTATTTTGGTAGGTAGTAGAGGCAGTTGAAACTATATTAAAGATGGAAGGTGCATGGGCAGTAGCACAGATAGAAGCTGTAGCCAGCACATGGGATGGAGAAGTCAGAGTGGAATCAAAGTGAGCATTTTGAAAAATTAAATAACGTTTAGACATTTTGATAAAAAAAATGTTTTAAATAAGAATTTATTATTTATTAAACTTTTTAGGCACGCTGCAACATTGAAACAGTTGGATAATGGCAAGAAAATTCCACCGAGTGGTTGGAAATGTGAAAAATGTGATCTCACGCAGAATCTGTGGCTGAACCTGACCGACGGCAGTGTGCTCTGTGGTCGTAAGTTTTACGATGGAAGTGGTGGCAATGGCCATGCGGAGGAGCATTATCGTGCTACTGGCTATCCTCTGGCTGTGAAATTGGGCACAATCACGAAGGGCGGTAAGGCCGACGTATATTCATACGATGAAGATGATATGGTGGAAGATCCAAATCTAGCAGTGCATCTGTCACACTGGGGCATCAATATCGCACAGATGGAGAAAACAGATAAGTCAATGATAGAGTTAGAGTTGGATCTGAATCAAAAGTTTGGCGAATGGGTGTCCCTTCAAGAAGCAGCTAGTAAATTGACGCCATTGTATGGTCCTGGCTACACTGGACTGACTAATTTAGGAAATTCCTGTTATCTAAATAGCGTCATGCAGATGTTGTTCATTATTCCTGATTTCGTTAAGAGGTATGTGAAATTCTTTCTTTCAGTTTCCACAAATGTTTCCACAAATTTTTTTGCTTTAACTGTACATAAAATTAAGGGTTTTTGATAATATTATTAAATCAGATAATATTATTAAATCAATGTCCAATAATTGTCGGTAAATTTCAGATACGTGGAGAGAGCATCGAGCATATTCGAACATAATTACGTCGACCCGGCATCGGACATTAGTGTTCAAATGTGAGTGACAATATATTTGGTAAAATAAATATTTAGCGATAATCTAAAACTTTGAGATGTAATCGAATAAATCTTAATTTCTTCAGGGCAAAATTAGGCGTCGGCTTGCTTTCTGGCAAATACTCGGATCAACCGACCAAATCCGGGACGGACGACGACTCACGGCAGGGTATTCCTCCACGGATGTTTAAGGTCTTGATTGGTCGTGGACATTCCGGCTTTTTCTCGAATCGACAACAAGACGCTCAGGAATTCCTGCTTTACCTTATCAACTTACTCAATGTAATTATTAATTTTACTTTTAATCTTTAATTGAATTTTTCGTGCACTGTTAAATCTATTCTTGAATTAAGCTATTGAAAATTCTAATCGGGAAATTGATTGAATAGCGCAGCAATCGTCACGAGGTATGTCCCACGGAATGCTTTAAATTTAAAGTCGAAGAGAGATACCAATGTGGCAAATCCAACAAAGTTAAATACACCAATCGGCCGGAATACATCTTACCATTGCCGATACCGTTGGAAGCGGCGGTGAATAAGGTGCATATATTCAAACATTTGATTAGTTTTTTTTTTTTTGAAGAACGATATTCTTGTTGTCAAAACTAATTAAACAATGTATCAAGGATGAGGTAGCTGCATATGAGGCTCAAAAGAAGGAAGCTGAAGCAAAAGGACAAAAACTTGATTCCAACACTCTTGTGAGGCCACGTATAAAATTGTCATCGTGCCTCGAAAGTTTCAGTCGCACGGAAATCGTGGAACAATTTTATAGTTCAGCATTGAATGAGAAAACGATAGCACACAAGTAAGCATCTTGACTTCCAGTTTAATAATCAAAATATTCCATTTCTTCTGTATGAGTGTTAAAAATCAGCCAGATTTTATTTTTTACAATGGATTTTTTGATATCTAATATTTTTTCAGAACTACCAGACTAGCCAGTTTCCCGGATTACTTGCTAATTCACTTGAAGAAGTTCACGGTGAAAGAGGACTGGACACCGATCAAGTTGGATGTAGCAGTGGAGATGCCGGATACAGTGGATTTGAGTTTCTTGCGCGGAAACGGTTTGCAGCCTGGCGAGGAGCTGTTGCCGGATGGCGCGACGCCACCGCCGCCAGTCTTCGATGCGAATCTCCTAAAGGAATTGACGGACATAGGTTTCCCACCGAACGCGTGCAAACGAGCTCTATATTTCACGGAGAATCGCAGTCTGGAGGACGCGACCAACTGGGTGATGGAACACATCGCGGATTCCGACTTCGACGAACCGTTTGTTCCGCCGGGAGTCGACGTCAAGACAGGTAAATCGACTTGCTTTAATGTCGTAGCTGATTAACCGATTTTATTCTTACTTAGCTATCGATTGATTTCAGGCGAGAATAAATTTGTGCCAGATCAGGCTGCTTTAGAGATGGTAATGGGTATGGGCTTCACACGGCAGCAAGCGACGAAAGCTCTTAAAGCGACTAATAATAATCTGGAACGAGCCGCCGATTGGATTTTCAGTCACCAAGTTGAGCTCGATGCTCCGGAAACGGAAAGTAACGCGACACCGGCAAAAGAACAGTTCAGAGACGGAAGCAGTCGTGAGTCACAAAATTCTGTATCTTATAAACAATATGTCAATCGATACAATTAATAAAGCTTGAATTTATATCATTATTGAAAAGAGCGAATATATTTTTTCATGTGTTGAAGCTTTTTTTATAAATGTGTTTCAGGATATAAGCTAGTGGGCTTTATATCGCATATGGGTACATCGACGATGGTAGGCCATTACGTTTGTCATTTATTGAAGGAAGATCGATGGGTGATATTTAACGATGAAAAAGTATGATTTTTAGATGATTTTTACGTTTTGTCTTGACGTGATTATTATTTTTAAATATTTTAACATTTGTCTTACATACATTTATTATTACAGGTTGCTTTATCGGAAAATCCACCGAAAGAATTAGGATACATTTATATGTATCAACGGGTCGACTAGTGTAACTGCTATTTTGTATAAAGATGTTGCTTTTCAACAATAAAAAAAGTGATACAAATATTTCTTATGTATACATATTAAACGAAATGTCAAAGCGATATGTCAAATAAAAAAATACAGTTTTCACACCATTAGGAATGAAAAAATAAGACCCAAGTACAAGACGAAAATTTCACTTTATTTTCTAACAATGGCACATTCTTCAATGTGTTTCAAAGCGCGTCGCAATCACAATTGCCAATTGAAATAACAAATTGTTCTATAAATATACATAAACTCAAAAAAGAGTAAATTGTCTCATCTTCAATGAAAGCTTTGTAAATGCATAAGTACCAGATTATTAACGGATTTTATGGCAATGTATAACAAGTTCCTTCGTACATTAATCGAAGTAACGTTAAAATAATCGTAAAATAATATATGTTTTGATTAATCTTGATCATACATTTATATATATATATATTCCTACACAGTCTCTAAATCTAAGTACATGGAAAGATCCAAAATTTTCTTTGGAGAAGCATTTAACTTTCATTATATTTTTTTTGTATCGATTCAGCAGGCACTATAGGTATATAGTTACATATATATTTTCTTTTGTCACACTGGTTTTATAGTTATATGTATATATTAATTTTTTGTTTTGTCATACTTTTTGTATTTACACATTTTTGTAAAGCTTTAAAAAATATGTCAATCTGATAGTAAGTAGAAGGCCACAAGCTTAGAGCACGTTGGAATTCTTGAAAAACATTCTATAATAACATTCTGTTCTGTAATAATCATCGTAATATCAGCAATACTTTTCTCCAAGAAAAATAGAAAAAAATGACTGTGACTTTCCATGAGTAATGTTTAAGTTATTTCGTATAAATTATGCGTTCGCTATTATACTTCAGTGAAACCTACTTTCATGGACTACACGTCTTATCTTCTCTGACGTCGCGCATTACAAACTAATATTTATAATACACTATATAGAGAGTATTTACAGAAAAAATGTATCGGGTGCGTGATACTTGGTATCAACACAAAAAGATCCGTCAAGTTTTTCATACTTTTCGTAACGCAAATAACATATGTGACATGTACATAATTAACTTGTACTGCAACATCTTTTCTTTTTTTACATTCTATTTTTACTTTCACGTAGAAGTATATTTATTATATAGGTAATTGTGTTTGTGTGATGAGATTTAAAATTTTTTACCATTTACTCTTCGAAAAATAATAAAAACGTTTTTTTGCTCGAGCGTCGAAATCGTTGAAAAAAAAGAGAAAAGTAAATGCCATGAAGAATGTTAGAAATTATAATGCTGTTTAACATTATAATATTATACTAAGAAAATTAATAAAACGATCTTCGCTAAAATGTGATTATAACTCCTGCTAAAATTTGTTCACCGAAAGATATCTTATGCTTGAATTTCCGGCCAATGTCTGTAATATATATCAATATCATTTATATAATATATCATAATGTAATAAAAACTGGAATATTAATCAATTTGAACATTGAATCGTGCAACAAATATAGACATTGATCGGACTTTCGTTACAGTAAAATTTGCAGATATTCGTGGCAACGCGATTAATATTCCGGAAAAAATCAATCAATCTAATTAGAAAATCTTTTTAAATGTGATCCGTAAGATAATATCTGTGTGTAGATATTATCTTACGGAATTGTTGAATAGCTTCCCGTACAAATACGGCATGTTAATTACAGCCTATTGTTAAAAAAATATACTCGATGCTTTTTTTAATTATGATACAGGTCTCGATTATGACTTCGTAACAATGCGAATCTATTGTCTTATATTAGCACCACCGTCGATGATGCCTATCGATGGTGGGATGGCATAGACGATTTGATTACCGTCCTTCTTAAATGTGGGCTCGATCACATCAGGTATCACCTCGATGCGGAGCAATTTACTTTTGTTACCCAGCATGCACTTGAACTTCACATCCACTGTAACATGCAGATCAGTGCCACGTAATCTACAAGAAAAAAAAGAGAAATTTCATCATTAAAATCTTTCAAATAAGATTGCAATTAAATAAAAGATATATATTCTGAAATTCGCTCGAACTGTTTAACAAAAGTTTTCGGAGATCATGAAAGTTTTTGAATAAGTATAATACGTTCATACGTTATACATATTTAGAAAATGTATTCATATGTTATTGAATTTTATAAATATTTAGCGACTTACTGGTAGTACCGGTTGCTAAGTATGCCGACCAATTCTCCGATCCTGTCGTCCTTGGCAATGATTGATAGAATGAAATCATTCCCGCGATTCGAGTGAATCGTAATAAGTTGATCGTTTCCGGGTGAAACGCTTAAACCTGTGATCTCTGCTATCGGCATACCTTTCCTCATGTTTTTAAACTTGACGCCGTCCAGCTTGTATACAGAATGTTCTGTCACCACCAAAACGCGATCCGCCGATTTGTTGAACCTATGTAATTTGTCAGATTAATATATTATCAATCACGCGAACGACGAGATTATTGACGACATGAAAAAACCTATTGGTCTTCCTAATAAACGCGCTGAACAAGACGGTCTTGAAGTGATCGGTGTTTCGTAAATTATTTATCGATGAATTGAAAATGTCGCTTTGAGAATTCTCATCCGGCTTAGACAAATAGTTTCCTTCCCAGCGACGATCCTGACCCCAGTAAGATCGTTTCGAACGTAATACAGCGCCCGCCGCCATCTGTAAATTAAATTAATACGAGAACAAGATTACACTGTTATCTATTTCTCTTAATTGGCAAAGATTAACTTCGAAGTTGCATCTTAATAAAGATAAAACAAAAAGATAGAGATAAAAAGATTATCATAAGCGCGTGCCTTTAATCGAAGTTGCGGCCAATCCTCCCGAGGAATAACTCGAAGCACCATCCACGCCCACCATCTTGCATACATATTCTTCAAGGCAGGCACTACGTGTCTCACAGCGAAATTTTCGCGCGGCCACGGTAAATGTTTGCCGTAATTCCGCATATTCTTGGCGCCTCTAAATATCCGTTCGAGTTCTTTAATGTAGACACGTCGTCTGTATCTCCTGTAATGCTCCATCAAAACTAACGCGGCCTTCATCTTCTTGTACTTCTGACGGCAGAGATAGCCTCGCCATTGTTTCTGCAGGAGAATTACGACACCTGGTATTAAGTCGCTGCGTGCCTGTGAATGAAATAATTAATTCAATTGATGTTTGCTAATATGTCGCTAATGATTTATAAGATTAAATTGAGCCAATTAACCTTTTCCAACGCAAGTAACGTTTGCGGTGAGCGAATGAATATTTTTGTGTGACCATATTTAACATCGTCCGAGAAACCCTTTTCATCCATCAATGTGCGTACGCCATCCTTATCACTGTTGCCTCGGAAATTCGGCCATGTATACTGTGATATCATTTTGTACCTACGAACAATTAATACCATTATTATTTCTCCATAATTGCATTTCGAACATTTAATACAGTTTAACGAATCATTGTTTAAGAAAATAATTCATTTAACTTAAAATATTCAATTTTCATTATTTATCTCTCTAAATGTTTTTTTAATTTATTTTATTTTTAATTGCTTTTGTTTTTATTCAAATAATTATCAATTTAAACTGTTATCTAATTTTATATTTTAACAGATTCAATACCTCTTCAAAAATCTATCATATCGTTGTCTATAAACAAAACCAGCCCGCCTCACCAAAATATTTTCTATAAGTCCCAAATATCTCACTTGATGATTTACTCTTTCATCGTCGAACACGACAGGAGATTTAACTTCGTTAGGTTTTATACACCTCACATAAAATGGCTCCTTACTCGCTAAATTTTTCACTAGCGCGATCATAGAGTTGCGAAACAATGTACCAGCGGTTAAAGGTCTTTTTGTTGTCTAGAGAAAATAATGAACAGATTTAGTTAAGTATAATTCAGGTTAAAATACATAAAAAGTCTGTAGCTATATTTAAATTTAAACATTGCGATTGTAATGTGGTTCAATATATAGGCGACCGACTATTTTTGTACCTTTAAAATATTCTGGGCACCTTCAGGCCACATTTCCCTAATTATGGAATTACTGCTTTGATAGAGCAGACGTTTGAAATCTTGAAAGAGTGTGTCTTTGTTCTTATCAAGAAAACCATTAATAGTGTAAATCACATCGCCGGCATAGTGCTTGATCTTGAATTGTATTCTGTGTTGCAGTTCTTTATCCATCGGTTTTAATTGTCGGGAGCTATAATGTTTATGGTCCACCAACTTCTTGTCCATCGCATCGAGAAGCATCTAAAAGAAAGAAATATTTTTATTCTCCGCACGAATCTTCCCAAGAATTAAAACTTTAAATCTTCTAACTACCTCATCGGTAACCTTCCCAACGTTGAGACAAGCCTCATCCATGATTGCTATAATTCCTTTGTGAGCTTGTTCGACTAAATCGCAAATAACTTGATTGTTAAAGTATTCAATATTTTGCCAAGCTATCCCTTCCTTCTGGTACTCCTCTTGCTCTTGTTTTAGAACCAATTCTGCAACAAAATGTTCATAATTATAATTAAGAGCTTTATATCTATCAACGCGAAATGCTCTCGCGCATCTTAAGCGTTATGCTCACCGATAAAAAGTTGTTGCAATTTTTCGTTGCAATAATTGATGCAAAATTGCTCGAAGCTATTCATATCAAAAATTTCAAAACCATAGATGTCGAGCACGCCAATTACTGTTCCATATCTCCTTACGCTGTCGCTGATATTTACATTGATCGATCCATTGACACGCGACACTATCCAAGTGAACAGTCGTTCATACACAGCCTGAAAGATTTATAAAAATCTTTATCAATATGTCAATAATTAATATATTAGCATAGGTTAATATGCCAATTAAATAAAATAAAAATTCCATAATAAGTTAAACAAATAGTGCGCGCTGAAGGTACCTTTGCTAACGCATCTCGGCCGTACTCGGCTTCTATCAAAGTATGAGTCTTTTGCATGACTTCTCCACCAGCCGCTATGATTCTTTGCGAGAGAGCAGTGCTCAGATCTTTCGAATTGATGGAAAATAGATTAGCGGTGTCATTTAAAGCACTATTATTTTCGATTAAAAGTTTGTCATCATCCAGTCTAAAAGTGATGTTGCCCTAAAACGTAATAAACAAAAATAATAAATCATGCACGTACAATTATTGAAAGATGCGAGAAGCATTCAGAAAAGTTCCACTTTTTTAATTACCAAATGTAGAACACCAGCGACGATATTCCATATGGTCTGCGTTTCATTCGCGGAGAACCCGAGAATGTTCATGGCGGTGCAGACGGTTTTATAATCGCTTCTATCGGAGGTAGCTGTTTTGTTGTTGCTTCCATTGCCAATGAAATAATAAGCGGCTGGGTCGCGGACCAAACGTAGTTTATTCAATTCTGCTTCGCTGCAGCCGTTCAGTAACTAAAAAGTAATAAATTATTTGTCTTGGCATATATTTCGTACATGCATAAGCGATTCGTGCTCCTAATTTCCAATCGCGCGAAAAGGAAGTTTCAGGCATGAAATTAGCGAATGCGAGCGAACGGAAACCTGATAGAAGCAGTGAAAGTTGCGTTCCCCTTTTTGCTGATAGACCACCCGGGACTTCTCGAGAAGGTAATTGGTCACATGACCGCCGATGGGATCTCCCTTGAAATCAAAATTGATGTCCATATACTTTCCGAAACGCGACGAATTGTCGTTGCGATTCGTCTTGGCGTTGCCGAATGCCTCCAGTATCGAGTTCGATTGGATAAGAATGTTCTTCACCCTGAAAATTGTTTATATATAAATACCCACGGTACTCTCGGCGGAATCTTTTATTTTGCGTTAAGCATTATGCAACCGATTAATCTTTGATCGTCCGTCCAGATTTTTCTAGATTTAATCTTATCGCCTACAGAGGTTTGCACCGGACTGATTAGATAAGAAAAGTTGAGTATAATTGCCATTCGCTTCTAAACGATAATATTCATACCTCTCGATTTCCTGCTGGCCGCTCAGATTGGTCACAGCGGCGATATATTTCATGATGATTTTGCTAGCTTCCGTCTTGCCAGAACCTGATTCGCCGCTTATCACTATGCAAGTATTTCTGCCCTGTTGCTTCATCTCTTTATACACCGCATCCGCGATCGCGAAGATGTGCGGCGGATTCTCAAACATCTCTCTCCCTGTAAGCAATTTTAAAAATGGGAAACACTAAAAATACGCGTTATTTTTCAGATTTGCATTCGACTAAATTTTTAGATCCTACAGTAAAATTGTTTTGTATGTGTATTTATTTTTTTAATACATGTGGCTTCATCGTACCTTTGTATTGGTTAATGTGGTTCGCATCGTAAATGTTGGTGCTTCTGTAAGGGTTCACGCTTACGCAGACTTCACCGATGTATGTGTAAATCTTGCCCCCGTTAAATCTACAACATGGTAATGAGATATATATGAAAAAAAAAAGATTGAAAAAGCAAATGAAAACTCGAATTTATCAAAGCGGTAAAAAAAATAGAACATCCCAGATAAATTTTGTTATTAAAATTTTTCTCTTGATAGTAATTGTCAGAAAATCGAAGCAATATGAATATATGCTTATATTTTTTGCGCGCAAATCGCACGATTTGATAAAGATATACTTTCTTCAAATCAGGGAATTGTCCGTTACAGTTTTCGTGGCAACTATAGATAACCGATAACACGAAGACAAAAGATAAATATTTGTATTATCGCTTTTACAAGAGATTGACTTTAAGATTATCTGAGAATAATGATTCACTTGTCCTTACTTCGACAATTGCGTACTCGTTAGTACGCGTTACAAATAATTACTCTTCCATCAGCAGTGGAAAAATTTTAAATATATATATATATATATATATATATATTCAACATACAGAAACATTTCAATGCTTATCTCAATTCCTACATTCGATTTAAAAAAAGTTTTGGCAAACTCTAGAAACACGAATTCAAATAAAAGCGCTGTTCAATCGACTTATTTATTGAATTGAATTGAATTAATTAAATTGAACTAATACTTTTTTAATACAAAGTATTAATTTCATGAAAGAAAACTAACGAAAGAAACCAACTAAAATTAATGAACAATTTTATTTTTTACAAAAAAAGATTAAAGGTCACGATATTATTAATTATCATTCGTTAATTATCTTTACTAGCATTTAATATATGCACATTTTGCCGATAATTGATATAATTAGTCATCGACCATTATTAGACCGAGTCTCGCAAGAATGACGCGAGCACGATTCGAAAACTATGCGACGGCTTGAGGACGACGAGGATGACTCATCGTCGACATGAGCCCCGATAAGGATTACGCGAGCCGCATACGTTTGTTACGCGTATCCTCGGATACACGTCGTCGAACGCTCATATTCGTTCGTCGCGCGTTTACCGCTAAACGAGCTTGCCCTCGTGTGCCTCTCGTCTCGCGTTGGCGACACGAAATCTTCATCTGACGTGACCACATGAATCGACGAAAATAAAAAAAAACCTCGATTCATATAAGGAGACTCCTTCAAATATATAGCTTTCCCGCTCCGTTATAATTACCAATTATTTTATGTAATATATATATATATGTTTTATATATGTGTATGTGTGTGTGTATATATATATATATATATATTACATTAAAAATAATTGGTAATTATAACAATGCAGAAAGACATTAGAAGAAAGAAGGAAATCTCTTTATCTATCTGCAGCAAGATTTATGTTATTGTATTTTCAATTGCAGCTGAATTTTTGGACGGCTCAAAATTAGATATACGAATGGATTATCCACAATCGAATCTGATATATAGGTCGAGATTTTTTATTTTCGTCGATTTGTATGACGTATCACGTCAGATAAGATTCCTTCTTCAAATATAGCCTTTCTGCGTTATTATTATATATATAATTATTTTTATTATATATGTTATTTTTAATTATATATTTATTTTTAATTATATTATATTTTTATTATATTTATTTATTTTATTATGTAATTATATATATAAAATTATTTTAGAGACTTATAGTTCCTTCTCCTTGTGAAAGCTGTTGAATCTACCACCAAGGAAATAATTGCGTTTTACATTAACTCATTTCATAAAAGCTCTAAAAAAAAAAAAAAAGAGAAAATTCTTTTATCACCACTCATTATCAAACAGTTGTGTTTAATGTCAAATAAAGGTAAGACCTTCACTATAATTTCTCGATACGTTCTTTCCGCTTATTTCTCGTGAAAGTTGGAATTTACCCCGGCGAACGGTCGGGGTAGTGTCAATGATTTTATCGAAGCGTGGAGGAAAAAATGTCGGGCAAACTCGTTTGAGTTCTAGCTCGGAAGTGAACTAATATGAGATATCAAAGCAGTTCGGAAAGATATGGAGCTAGTCTGTCAATTTTGTACCGCAATCGCGGCACAAAATGAAATTGATGTAATAAGTTTCCTGTCAGAAGATACTTTCTAGCCAAGCTCGATAATAGCACTACAAGATAATGCTTAATAATTTACTGATATTCTAGCAATTTGAAAAAGAAAGTTTTGTTTTACTCTTTAGTATTTGCTTCCCATAATTAAGGTTTGAATTAAGCGAATTTCTTATAAAATATAATTGAAATCTTCAATTCTCTATTGCTTGAAATTAGATATCTTATATTAAATATTTTTATATATAAATAAGTATATACAGAGACTAAAGATGTGAGATGTTAAACGCAGAAGAGCGTTAATAATTAAAAAAATAAAAGTATTTCTCAAAGCTGGATCTCACTGTCTAATCTTTTTAATTTATATAAATTCTAAATTTTTAATTATTTAATTAGAAACTAAAATCTTGATTAAAACAGCATCACATACTGTTTCATTAATAATGTCATTGAATTAACGAAATTATTTCCAATTAGACTAATGCTGCTGATTCAACGGCATTCTTTTCTCAGTGTAGATGTTACTCGGTGAAGCAGGATTTTCGGTCTAATAATTTTTTATTTTATTTTAAATTATATAAATAAATATTTATATAAATAAATGCAAGAATAAATGCAAACGCTATTAAACTTAAATAAGTTAAAAAATTATTACGTACTAATAATTCGTTAAGGTTTATTTAGGTAAGATTCGGTCTTGATCGAGAAATGCCTTTATTACATATGTTCATGTAATTTAGTTATTTTTAAATAATTTGATTTTATTGTCTAATCCAATGTCTATTTAATAAGGATATATTCATCCAAGCGATTGATTCTTAATTGAGTACTTATCCAATTAGATATTTCCACCTAATTAACGCGCCCCTTCTGCGCTTGTAATTCAATGTGCAGATCTATTCGAGATCTCGCGTAATATGCGTCTGGAGAACAGCGTCGGCATGATGAATCAGAGCGCGTAATTCATCCTCACTCATGAATATACAACCTTCCAAGAAATGCATCATGCATCGTGCATTATTAACCTTTCAAGCGAATCAAATTAAATCCCAATCCGTAGTATATACATTATTTTATATAAAACTAGAAGAAAATATAACTCCTATCTCCAGACTCTCTCGTACAGCTGGCTTATAATTGTGAGAAAAACACGATAATTTTACAAGTACTAAACAAATAACGTTTACAGATATCAGATATTGAATCTCTGACTGATTTTGATATTTTCCTGATATTACGAAATTTTTTTTCTTTTTTTTTCTTTTTCTCTATTTGGCACTGAATTCGATAGATTTTACCGTTTAGAAAAATTAGACAAAGAAAAAAATTCTCCTTCGGGCCGTTATCTCGAAAATCTCTTTTAGGCTTTAGTGCCTTGTAACGAGGATATATGAATTAGGTGGTCGCTTTATCTTAAACCATTCGTCTCCGGTCTCTGCGTGCGTGTGACTCGGCGGCGGCGGCGGATGCACGCAACGCGCGCTCTTTATCCGCAAAACGATATGCCCGCGTAATCGTGCAACAGGTATCGCCGCTTCCGTCACACGCGGAATATTTCTTGCTCGCGGTGTGATATTCAATTCCACGATCCGCGATACAGATGATACAGCCGAACGAAACGAGGTTCCCCTGACGTGGGTTCCCTTTCAGTCGCGACACGCGGCAATTTTCTTCGTATTTATTTTCTTCGTATTTTTTTTTTTTTTTTTTTTCTTAGCCGCGTAACGCGTTACATTTTTATTTGTGTACCAGCCAATTCGCTTATTTTTTTTAAGAACAATCAAAAGATAAGTTGTCGATTATAGAAAATAGAGTAAATATTTATATGAAGAAATTCAAATGGAAATTGAGAATTAATTAATAATTTCAATTTATCCATTTAAAATTCAACTTAGCAAAGACCAAATAACTTTACAGCGTCTAGACGTTAAATTTTCGCTCGGAGAGAGTCGATTTGAAACTCAACTCTGCGAAAGAGAAAGATGAGTTTACGACCGTTTGCAGTGCTGATGATTTGACCGAATTACAACGATTCGGTTAACTAAGTTAATTTTGAATCTACTTAATTTTAGATTGTGGTTTCAGGTTAAAGAAAAAGAGGAAGGGAAATTAACTGTGGTTAACATCGATTAACGATGATCGCACCTTGTTGCTGTCATCTAGAACCTGACTGCAACTGCAGACTAACGCAATTCGCTATCTATTTCCTAGATTACAACCTCGCCTATAACGTACGCAGAAAAATTAATTATAATTGGCGTTTGGAACTGGTGTTCTGAGAAAAGCTGCGGTCGTCACGCGAAAATACGAGACACGTACGAAAAGACAGTTTTGCTGAAGTATCTAAAAGTTTGAAAAGAAACAAATCTGAAAATAATTTTGTTAGGCTATCAAAATAATTATATAGAAATTAATATAAAAAAATAATTATGTTATTGGTTATTAAGATAAAATAAAAAAATGTTGCAATATTATTATCATGTTTAATGTCCTACATAAGAATTTTGATGGCCCCCAAAAAAAAGAAAATTATTTTTAAGTTTGTATTTGGACAAATGTTTAATTTCAGCAAAATTATGCCGGGTTGTGCTTGAAAATGATCAAATTAGAATAAATTGTGTCATCAATTACTTTTTTTTCATAATACTTTTCATAATACTTTTACTTTTTCATAATTTTCATAATAATTTCAAAGAAAATATAATCAAAATGTTTGATTTCAAAATGTTTAATTTAAAAATGTATTAGTAGATATTAAGACTATTATATTAAAAACAGATTGTTCTGTTTTTTCCTAGCATTTCGATCAATTCATTATAATTCATTGTATTTCTTTTAGATTATCATAACTTGAAACTAAACCTAAATAATCTGTTTTTACACATTTCTATTTTTGTCTTGAATTCTAAACACATCTTCCAAAATATTAACATACAATTAATTAATTATTGTATATTAATAATTTTATTTATTTTCTACAAAAATATTTGAGAATGCAAAGATTATAACGGAGCAACTGGAGATTTCGCATTTCCTTCGTTGTGGTTTTAGCTGCAGCAGGCTAAAAAATGCCTCGTGCACCCAATCCAACAAAAAACACAGACTATCATTGCCAAAATTAATTGGCCAAGACTATCCGATGAAAACGACCTCGGATATTTTCTCGAACGATTGTCACCGTCAGCAGGTCAAGTTCAAGATACATTAGGATCTTATAACACTCAAAAGTTGAAAGAAAGGGTAACGGAAAAGAATCCAGATATATCTGCATTTTCTACTCTTATCTCTTGAGATATGAAGTCATTCCAAGATATTACCTCACACCATTAACTCAAATATAAACTCAATTGAAGCTTATAATCACACATTCCTGAACACATTCCTGAAAGATACGGAAAATATTGATAGCGTTTCGTATACATAATTTCATAACTATTTATAGTTCCTCCGAATCCTTAAGAACCACGTTTCCTATTCAAGCTTTCAAGTTGGGAAAATGCGAGAAGGTGAACGCAAGATCCTTTTTACTATCCCTGGACGACCACCTGCCGGCGCGCAAGCCACGCCCTCTCGCGCCCGCAACGGCGACCCGAGCGGAGATCGAGCCAGCGCGGCGCTCCCCGCCGTCCACCTGTCACAAAGAGCGTCCACGAGTTTTCGGAGTCGAGTCGTCGGGCGGCCCTTGATAGCGTACGCACCTCGTCTTCAGATTCTCGACCACGCGGTCCACCGTGATTTCGTCCAGCAGCACGAAGTCGCCGACGCCGACGTCGTCGTGGCTCGCCATCTCCGCGTCCGTTCACTCTGCACGGCACACACGCCGACGCTCGCAATTCCGAAAGAAAAAAAAGGGAGATAACCACACGGACCAATCACCACATGCTACCACCGCGCGCGACCGATCCGCGCGCACTGACGGCTGACTCGCGCGCGTCCCACCGACGGCCAACTTCACTATCTCGCGCGAGCGACGAACGCGGTCATCTTCATCCCTCTGCCGCTTCCCGCCTCTTG